AAATCAATCAGCTGAGTAATTTTTTTTTGCCAAAAGGTCAGGTGGTGGTGGTGGTCGTCGTCTTCGTCTTTTTCAATTGAAATTGAAAACGCATAAATTGTTTAATATCTCTAAAAGCATTCCACAGCGTAGTTAGAAGTTGTAATGTTTTGCTAATAACGTGATTGAAATTAACATTCAGTTAGATGTTGCTGTGAGAGCGATAGACGCTCCCAGCTAACATTGTTTATTGAATGAACGAACATAAATCGACTTACGGTTCGATCATCGTTTGAATGCAGTCGACTGATGGGCGACGAACGACGGTTGGCAAACAATTCCAGAAAAATTCATTACCACACAACAAATTAACAAAATGAGAAACGAAACGAACCGAACAGAAAAAAAAAGAGCGGAGAATTGAAACACGTTGCATTTTTATGATTAAAAATAAATATAGAGGCAGCCATCAAATAAAGAAGCGATATAGTCAAATAATAAGTGTGTCTTTGGACTGCATTGGATCATATTACGTGTGCAGTACAGGTTTGGTTCATTTTGTGATTTATTCTTTCAGCTCATCGTCGTCATCGTCATCGTCATCGTCATCGTCATCGTCATCGTAGTCGTTTTTCGTCGTTTTGTTTAATTCTCGTGAAACATCTTATTGAATATGGATATGAGGAGAATAGGTAAGGTGGCGAGTAAGCGAGAAGGAAAGAGCGCGTGTACGCGTCATGAATAAAATATGTACCTAGGGCAAGGATAGAATCGACATCGCAATCATTAATATAACATGAGAGGCGTACAAACAGAAAATGAATAACACACAGCAGCAGCATAACGTGGAATTTAATTATAAAAATGACTATCGTTGAAGTAAATATGCAGCAAAATATAAATAAAAATCTGATATAATAGATGAAAAAAAAACAACAACAGCACACAACAGCAACATTTACACAATGCCCAAACACACAATGGAGTAAGAAAATGAAAAAAAAATCAACAAACGGCAGAGAGAATAATGTGGTACACGAATTGAAATTTATTATCACTCACACTGCAATCGTGTTTGGCAGCGGTGGTGGCGGGCAGTGTGCGCGCAATGTGTGAATATTGGATATTATGACGGCCTCGATTTTGATTCGATTCGGCTGTATTGTTTTGTTCTCGCTTACTCGTTCTTCGTTTGCTCGCTCGTTTTTTCTTCGATTTTTATAATTGCATGCACGTTTCAGTAATTCGTCTTCACTTGATAATGCACTGACTGGTTTGATTCCAAATGGATTGTATTGTGTTTTTTTTTGTCGTTTTTCATTCGTTTCGTTCAATAGAGCTCTCGGTTCACAGGTAGAAGTTTGCGTTGTGAATGCTTCGGAGTAGGGGGTTGGTTGATACTTTGCGTGTTAGAACATTGGCTATTCGTAATCGAATCAATCGCACGCTCGTTTGTTTGCTTCACTCTTCTGTTGTTTTCCTCCCAGCAAGCTCGTTCTCAATCAGCAACATATCTACCTGTGCTAGAACCATTTTCATACACAGGTATATAGGCACAGAGAGCGGCCCCAATTCAATAGCCGAATATCGCTTTGAAACAATTAGGAGTTACGTTTCTTTTTTTTTCTCTGTATGTATGTTTGTTGTCGATGTTAAGTTCTTTGTCAAGGTTATCGTGATAGCACGAAATCGTTATTGGCACACAGCATTCTATGTTATTCCACACTGGTATATTATTCGATTCAATTTTTTTTTCCAGATTTCTTATTGTACTTTAGGTGTTTTTTTTATACTTGTAGTTGTTGTTGTCGTCATCGACGTCGTTGCTGCTGTTGTTGTTGTTGTTGTTGTTTTTTCATATACTTCATTTTTCGTTCTAGTCATCAATTGTTCTATCGAACACCGTTAAATAGACCCAGCACATGTGAGCATTGGCTTGTTGGTTTTTGTGTTTCCTCCGAAATAAAAACAACCACAACCATTACAGACACACTTTGATTAAAAGTTAATGGAAATTACATAGTGAGCAGTCGAGCAAGGAACAACCGAAACAGAGAAAAACAACAAGAATCGAAAATACCATGAAACTCTCTCATGAAATGTTGATAAGCGCAACCAAATCGATGACGCTATGCTGTAATCGACTCTCCTTTTTAATTAGAATTTAATTTTGAAGTTCAACGCTTTTCGAGGCCACTTTTCAACCAAAAAAGCAACCAAGTGCCACAACAACCACATTTCCAACAACCAATTCCAATCGATTATTCCACGTGCTTTCTTGGAATACCATTGTGTTCGGCCATATATTTGGAAAGACGGGGCTTTTCTCTCTCTCTCTCTCTCTCTCTCTCTCTTCGTCTCCCTTTCTCTCTCGTCAGTGTTTTGTCCATTTCGATTTGGATGGCAATTTTTTCAACTGTGAATTGTTTTAGTTTTAGGTTTTTTTTGGCTCTGAATTTTGACGTCGAGTTTTTTTTCGTTTTTCCCTTCTTTTGGTTTCAAGTGTTTTTAGTGTCGACTTTTTTTTAGCTTTGCGTTCTGAGTTTTGAGTTTCTTTCAGCATTACTTGAACTTCGATTCTTTTTTTCACATAGATTTTTTCCCTTTTTTTCACACCGATTGCGCAAATATCGACTTTTTACTTTGACGTTTTTTGTGTTAGTATTTCGCGTTTAAATGTTGATTTTCTACTTGAATTGTTTATAAATTCGATTGTAAATTAGCGCTTGGATTATTCTTAATTCTTTCTTTTTTTTCCTCATTGCTTTGATACATGAAGCCTTTGAATTGGTTTTGCAGTGGATTTGAGGTGTGTTACTTTTTTGCGTGAACAAAAGATGATTTCGCCATGGATTATAAAGAGAGATGGTTTTGCTTTGAATTTAAATGTGGACTAAAAAGCGAAAAATTAGCACGGTTTCGTCAAATGTTTCTTAGTCTCAAGGGATTAGCTGTCTGTTTCAAGGAAATTCGTATCCTAAACCTAGAAACTCGAAACAAAACTCGTACCTCAACAAAAAAAAATAAAAAAACGTTTCATTCCGTTTATTTCTACCGACATGTTTTGCTGGGCTCACTTGATTTATTACCGAGAGTTTGCAGGTGCATTTTTTTCTTCCACAAAATGGATATTAACTAATAGTTCCTCAACATTTACTCGGTTGAACAGAAAACAATTGTGCTACTATTGCAAAATGCACAAGCCGCTTCGAACACAAAAAGAATAACGTAAATATAATAACACCGTGTATACACAATTGCATTTTTCATTATTTCTCTATAGCCGTAATGTGATCTCAATAGCCAAGCCAGCCATTGGAATCTCTATGGGTTTTTTGTATCGGCCCAGTTTGTGTTGCTGTTGTTTCGTTTTATTTTATTTGTTTCAATTTTTCTTCTGTTTTCAAAGTTTCTTGAGCATATGTGTGTGTGTGTATTGCAATTAGCCAGCTTATCTCTGTGAAGCACTTAGTTTATTTTTCTAGAACACTTGTTCAACCTTGTAGATATCATCGTGCAAAAGTATGACTATGTTTGGCTTTTAAAAATTTGTTTGCTGCCAAGACATCGTTAGGCAAAGTGTTTCTTGCTCAAAACGAAACAACAACAACAACGGGGAAATCGCACCAGCTGAACGAACCTTGCTGATGATTCACTTTTTTCTGTTCAATGTTTACACAAAAACCAATAGTCGTAACTAGTGATAAGAAAAAAATGGTATTGATTCAGTTAGCCGTTGCCGTTGTCGTATTTTGTTTGTTTCCAAGTCTCTTTTTTGTGTATTGATTCCATGTGGAACTTGGTCATAGGCAATAGCAATAAAAAAAAATACTGCTGACACAAACCACAAGTTGTTATTTCCGGTCAAAGTCAAATCAGAATTTCGGTGTGCCATGATCTCTGGCAAGAGCCAAATGTCAATGCCGATCTGTGTTCTATAAATATTTGCAATTGATTTGGTCGGCAATAATAACATCGCTTTAGGCGGTTGAGTCTTTTTAGAACTAAAACCGCAAATGGTTTTTCGCTTGAAATTCGCCGCCATTTCAAATGTTCGTTTGGTCTTATCGAGTTAATCGAGTGCTTGAAGCGACATTATGATTTTTACAGGCATGTTGAAATCACCTTTCAGCTGTCACATTCATCAAACAAAAATCGTCTGAAAATAGTATTTTGTGCAATCTGAACGAAGGAAACACTTTCATTTCCAGAGAGTGAGGGAATATATTTTATATGAGCATGTATATTTATATATGAGTCCGTTGTGATGATTGCGCTGCGGTAACAGTCCCGCATTTCTCATTGACTCGAAATAAAATGACTGATGGATCCAACAATAAATGCATGATGCGCACTGAACTCAGCTCTCGGTTTTGTTCTGTTCTGTTCTGTTTTCTGTTGGTTTTGTTGTGCTGATAAAAAACACATCATAAGCCATAATTTGAAATCAGCTCAATTGGTCGCGCGCACGCGAAAGAGCATGAACAAAAGGCTCAATGTTTTGATCATCATGTTTAAAGAAATTAAAGTAAATTTTGTGTCTGTACGTGTGTGTATGTGTGTGTGTGTGTGTGTGTGTATGTTTTCCAACAAAACTCGATTCGAATACAAACACTCTCATTAATAACGAGAATCAGAGCAATCAAATTCGGTTGTTGTTTGATTACTTTGGCCATTTTACAATAGACTGCTTTGAATGAGCATACAACGTATTTGATATGAAATAATTTGTCGGAGAGGATGACCGACAGAGAGAAGCGAATGAACGCGTCGGTGTGTGTATGTGTGCTGAAAGCGAAATGCGCTTCGAATATGGATATATGTGTATATATGCTTAATGTGCAAAGACTATTTATGGGGACATTAAAAATAAAAGTGGAAAAAAATGTAGAAATCACAACGACGGTGCCGGCGATACACAATGCGGTCTAATTTGGAAAATTATCGCCAAATGAGTCAATGAGTGAAGTTTTAGTGGAAAAAAAAGAAACGAAAAAAGAAATAAGATTGGATGAATTTACCTGTTTGTTGGTCTGTAAAATGCAAGACACAATCAATGGTCGAACAAAGAGCTGGCCTGGTCAAATCGAAGCACAGAAGCACATGAAAAATTCGGGCAGCAAACCGAGAGTATTTTTCGATCGCGTCCGTACACTCTTTTTTCACTCACTCGCTTGCTCACACTCTCGCTCTGTCTTTATGTGTATACCAATTAGGTGTACGTTTGCAGCAACTTAATCCAATTAGCAGGCGAGTGAATTTATCCAATTTGATGTTTTTGTTGGCACTTTTTTTCTTCTTTTATTTTATTTTATTTTTTACTTCTTTTGCTGGCAATTCTACAATGGAATAAACCAAAATGCAAACACTAATTGCTCTCGGTTTGTTTTTTTCTTCTTCTCTCTTTACTTTCTTTCTTTCTCGCTTTTCCAAACTCTTTTTCGATAATTCTTTTTTTTCGCAAAACTTTTGTCCAACTGATATTAATAGCACGATTTTTTCTGCAATTTTTTAATCTTTTTTTCTACCAATTTTTCGTTGCAGTATGTGCAAATTTCGTAATTCGGTCAACAAACACTCTTTTCTTCACACGTTATTTATTATTTTCACAAAACGACTAACTAACAATATAAAGCGAATAAAAAACAAACGACGAAAATAAATTTCCCGAATCGCAGTGTCAATGCATTTCGGTCTCTTACTCAGGGCGCTCACATGCGGAAGTCACCATTGTCAATAACAACCGAAACAGACCACGAAAAAAACTAAAACACACACCGCGCGCACATTTAAACAAAAGCTAACGTTGCTTTTGCTCGAATTGTTTCTAATGACAAAAAAGCGCGTGTAAATAAAAACAACAACACGTTGGCAGCGACGGCGGCGGCGGTGGCGGCCTAGTTAATTGCTAGATAAAGTGCACAATGGTTGTTACTTCTTCTTCTTTTTTCTCAATGCAATGTGAAGAGCGTCTATGCTTCGTTTTACAACTGTAAATAGAGAAAAATGCAGAATGAACACAAATGAAAATGTATGCATTAAATCAATAGAAAAACCAAATACATTTTTATGTTATTCAAAAAAAAAACTGTTCAATTCATGTTTGTGGGTGCGAAAAAAAATGGTGTGGATTCTTGATGTTCGAACGGGATATTGTTGGGCGGGGGCGCTTTTTTCTGCGTTTGCTATGAGATGACTGCTAAATTATTATCTTTGATAAGAGGCAATAGCTCATTTCATTCCAGAAAACAACAACACATCCAATTAGAACATTAACATTTTTTGTTGAGCGTGCTGACAACAGCAGTTGAACAGAGCATAAATGCGCTGAATGGAGTATAACAGGCCGAGCAAAACAAAAACAATGGCTTTTACTGCACACACGCATAAAAGGACAAAACTAATTTGAAAAATTTGTGTTCACAACGTTCAATCGTAATGTGCTATGTTTTGTGTTTGGAGCTCACACGAGAGAGCGTGTGGTACGCTACTTTTCATGCCATGGCTTGCGTATGGATGCGCGATTGTTTGTTTGCACGTTTGGGTGTGTTAAATCGCTAGCTCAATTGCATGGACACACGCTCTTTCTCTTTGCTCTCGGTTGATGTAGGAAACCCCTAGCGAAAAGCGCGGAACATAAAACCAGTAACTTTTCTCTTCTATCTCGTTCTCCGCATTTTTGCTGAAGCCAATTCAGCTCAACGAAAAAAAAATGAGCAGCAAGACGAGAGAGACACAGAGGGAGTGAGAGAGAGAGAGAGAATGAAAAGAAATAGAAATAATATAAAGAAGACTATGAACCCTGTGTGTGACAGAGCATTTCTTTTTATCAACATTCGCCCATTCATTCTGGAAGATATCGAGAATGTGTCGCTCTTCCCGACAAAAAATTGTAATGCTTGGATAAATCGATTCCATTTTTGATAAGGTACTAGATTACGGAGAGCCAAAGCACACGTACCAAACCCCAAGATTCTGACTGTGCTCAGTACACACATATATTTTGCACATACACACATTTTTGGGGAATGAATGAAGACGATTTTTGTACATCAGAACGAAGAGATGCGAAAGAAAGGAACGAGATTTATCGAATGACAGTGTGAGAGATACACTCACACCGTCAAAAACGAAAATCCTTTTAGATTGACAATAAAACATTAGAACGCTAGACGTTTGGGCGATAAATGGCGTACATTGCTTCCTGTTATTACATTCATTGTGGATTTAAGTGGAATGTCCTTAACATTGGGGCGATACCATTGAATTTTCGAGGCAAAACAATCGAACGGACACAACAAAAAATAATAGCGAACAAGAATCAAACGTCGCATTGGCGATAATCATACGCTACATGAGCATCTGCGTATCTATTCGCCCCATCCTTGCCGTGCGTGCGTGCGTGTGTTTCGCTCATGTTGAGTGTGCTGTTTTTTTCTCTCTCTCATCTTCTTTCCCTTCTGTGTTGTGTGCGATAATAACAGTTTACGGTTCATGAATTGACATCACTGAAACAGTGTTGTTATTTCGCAATTTAATCGGTTCGGCCATTGAATCAAAATTATTCATTATGAGCAAATTGCTGCTGCTGCTGTGACGATGAAAAACCTTTGACAAGTCACAAACACTCTCGCACACACACAGACTCACATATATTTGAACGGTAGCAGAGAATGAGTGAGTGTTGTGTAAGTGTGACAAGAATCGAGATGCATTCATCCTTCTTTATATCATGGCGTTTAGCTTCATCATATTGATTTTTCATCTTTGTTACGCATCAGATCACAACCCTCACACAAATACACACATACACCGAAACACACACACACACCGTTGTCGTTCGCTCACTCACTCTCGCTCTCAATCATTTTTGAGGATGATGAACACAAAACGAACTAACTTCGAGCGAGAGAACAATGACGGAGTGGCCACTATATGATTTTTGAGCTGGCTATAGCCCATCGACTGCATAAAAATGTTGTTTTGTTGTTCAACGCATGGACGTTTTTCTTTCTTTTCTTTGGGCATACAGCAATTCGTGTGTTTTTTCATCTCTTCTCTCTCTCTCTCTCTCTCTCTCTCTCTCTCTCTCTCTCTCTCTCTCT